TTATAAAAATATGGTAAAAATAGATTACAATCTATATTTTATCCCATTTGCAACAAAAAAAATTCATAAAACTTTAAAAATAACGAGTATGACAATTTTCACATTTCTATGCTACATCTTAATGAATTTTAATTTAACATGTTTACGATCTATATTTTTACCCATTTGCGCCAAAAAAAATTATTATGATTATTGTCACTTATCTATGGTATATCTTCATGAAATTTTTATATTTTTACCCATTTGCGTCAAAAAAATTCAAAAAACTCTAAAAATAACGATTATGACAATTATTACTTATCTAGGATGTTAGCAATACTTATTTTAACCCATTTCTCTCAAAAAAATTTCAAAAACTTTAAAAATAACGATTATTGCAATTGTTATTTTTCTATGGTACCTCTTCATGAAATTTTAATTCAACAAGTTTACAATCTATATTTTACGATTATGACAATCGTCACTTATCTATGGTACATCTTTACTGAAGTTTTATTTAAACATGTTAACAATACTTATTTTAGTCCGTTTACGTCAAATATCTAATATGTTTAAAAATACCGATTATGATAATTTTATTTTTCCAACAAACATCTTCATTGAATTTATAATTTAACATCTTAACAATATAAATATTTACCCTTTTGTGACAAAAAATTTTAAAAATGTTAAAAAATAACGAATATGACAATTGACACATTAAAATAATTTTCTTAAAAAGATCATTGAAAATAAGATAAAAAAGTTTTATTAATATTTTAAAAAAATTATTTAGAAAAAACCACCTCTTTTAATAAATTAAAAAAAATAGATAATTTTCCATAGATGATTTTATATAAAAACTACAAAAGATTTCACCTCAAAGATAGTTTATTTATAGCAAAATTCACAAAAGAATTTCTCAAAAAGATTTATTTACTAAGAAGATTCAAATTTCTTATCAAATCAAAAAATATGTTCAAAAATCTTTTTAAACATCAAAAAATATATTTTGCTTAAAATTTTGGGCGTGAAAATCACTAATAAATTGTAACAAAAATAATATTTCAATAGCAGAATACAGGCGCGTACGCAACGGGGGGAGGCAAATCTACCCCCCCCCCTCTCTCAAAGCCAAAAAATGCAGATGCCGGATTATATTTTTCAAAAATATTATTGTTAATATACATTTATATTTGTTAATTTTTATTCCTATCTCATATATATTTAATTACATTTATTTATCACTTTCATCTACTAAGTTATTTGATCAATTAATTTCGATTTCAAGTTTTCCTTGACATATTATTTACCTATTATTTTCAAATATTAGTGGCGTAATATTTATCTAAATTTCTAGTCAAATAATAATTATCTCTGAAACTCCTTGTCTAACAGGGAGAAAGAAATTGCAAGCTTGTCCAACGAGATCGAGTCGCCGCCATCCAGTAGTAACAGCTTTTATGGAGTTAGAAGAGCCGATTATTAATGCTATTACTGAAATATCATAATGGTTTGAAAGAAATATTTCCTCAAAAGCAAGAAAGTTATTGGATCAATACTTATTCCAAATTTTTTTTCTCATTAGAATGTATTATTTAATTATACAACTATTTTATGTAATACTTTTTAAAAACATGACATTGACTTGATTAAGAAGATGAGAATAGCGGAGAGCATTTTATTAGTACTCAAGGAAATTAAAGATAATGTTGATGAAGAATTTCATATTTTATATATTATTGTTGAGTCAAAGGCAGCTATACGTGTTTAATATTTGTCCCCCTTGACTTGCAGCAAGCAAGCTCATCGTCAAAACATTAATATAGGATCAGTAGAATTATAAAACAAATGTCCCAACTCTTAGATACATTTATAACCCAAATAAATGAATGGTTTTTAATTCATCAAGCAGCACTTATCAATCTGCAGAACTTCCACAAAAGCCTTCAACCTTTTTCAGATGGTGATAGAAAAAAAATAAATATTTATTAAATTTTTATCATGAAGATGTTAAAGTATCTTATGATGCCTTATTAGCTGAATAACTATGATTAAAAGATTAACTATGGTTGATATAGTCCCAAAAAATGCTATGGATGCTTTGCATTATTTAAAACACATTTTAGATTATATTCCCAATGTATTAAAATGGTTATAAATATATTAGCAACTCTTCCCATTAGTAAACTAATGAGAGAACATTCTCTTTTTAAGAAGAATAACAGAGCCCTGCAGAGATACTATTTGCAGGCACGGCCCGGATTTTATTTTTCAAAATTTTTTTCGGCCATGCCCGAGGTTTTTTTTTAAAAAAAAAATTTTCAGGCTCGGCCAGAATTTTTCTAAAATTAATTATATTTTTTCGATTTTTATAGCTAATAATGGCGATTTCAAATATTTGGTTTTAAAATATATAGCCCGGCCCGGATATTTTTTTTAAAAAAATTTTCAGGCCCAGCCCGGGTGTTTTTATTTAAAAAGAATTTGGGCCTGACCCGGGTATATTTAAGAAAAATTAAAATACGGTCCGGCCCGGGGGCCGAGCCTGCAAGTCTCTGAAAAACATACCTATGAAGTAAAACTTCTAAAAGTAGATTGCATGGTTTGGATCTTTTGAATATTCATAGGTATTTAGCGCCAAGCAAGGATGAGATAATTGTAAAATTAGCTCGAAACATACAAAATACAATTATTCCTAGGCTAAAATTCAAATTTCTATTTTGGGTAATTTAAGTGATTCATATGGTGGTTATATATTCACTTTATATTTTATAATTCACATTTATTTTATAGTTTTTCAATGCCGCCATTTATATCCGTTTAATATTTTTTAATTCACATTTATTTTATAGTGTTTTATATGCCAGTTTATATATATAATTTTTTTATAATTCACATTAATTTAAAATTGTGTATTAGAAAGGTTATTAGTCCCAATGATATTTCTTAAAAAAATTTATTATCCCCCACCCCCAGACCAAATTCCTGCGTACGCGCCTGGCAGCATATTATTTTTATTAATTAAAAAAAACATCAAATAAATAAATCCATTTTCATAATATAATTCTATTTCATTTCATAATATAAATAAAAAATATTAAATCATATCATGTTTATTTGTTGATAATAATAAAATATTATAACAATAAATAAATAAAAAATTTTACTAAAAATAAATTAATAGCCGATTTTTTTTCCTAAAATCTCGGCTAAGCCGTTTTGTAGTCGGCTAAAATTAGCCGATTACGTAGCATAACTGACGACACCATTCAAAAAATATAATAATAACAATCAGAAAAGAAAAAACTCAAATATAATTTACATTTTATTTCATCATAATTTTAACATATTAGATACATTTATTCAAATGAAGAAATAATTGCAAAGATTTTTTAAAAAAAAGAAATAAAATAAAATAGGGTTGCTATTATATATATTTTTTAATCATATTTTTTAAGTATCAATGTTATTTTCCCATACCCAGCAGTATTGGCAGAAAAGAGTCGATTTATCTCTGATAAAGAAGCAATTTATCTAATATAACTTTACTTTATAATTCCAAAGAATCAGGGTTAGCATGTTGGTCAAATTCAATCAATTAACTATGGTAAAGTACTCTAAAATTTCTGAGGAAAAAAAATTAAAAATATGTTTGAAAAAAGAAAAAACGATATAAATACATGCAATGCTATTTATTTATTGGGCCCCCCCATAATAAAGGGGGCATCTGAAATGAATTTAATGAAGTGTGTGATATAATATAAGTATTCGGCATTTTACAGGTGGGGATGCTCAAAATATTAAGTTATATCATAAATTTCAGAAGTAAAAACATGATGTTTAGTAAATTATGTGGAAAGCAGTAACTTCCATAGAAAACAATCAGATTTTAAGTTATTGGAATAAGCTTTGCTTTAGATGCCTATTAGGAGTTCCTAGTTCTACTTCTTCAGAAAGAAATTGGCCAATTTGGGTTTATTAATTTCCTAAACAGATATCGATAGAAGATCTCGACAACAGAAAAATTGATATAAAAATACTAAAGAAAATGATAATATTGAATATAAATCATAACAAGACTCTGCCATGGAGAGAAACATTAGTTATTGAATGACAATGAATTTTAAAAAATACTATAAAATTAATATTAGATTCATTTTACTATTATATACAAAATAAAGTTAATTAAAAAACATTGATTCGACTATGCAACCCTGCAAAGAATACATGAACTGTAATTAAACTAGAATATAAAATTATGTCTTTATCCGAGTTAAAACTTATATTCTGTTCGATGTGAATAATAAATACATGACCTATTCTCGTTTGTGAGATTAAGCCATTATATTTTTTGATCCCGACCAAGCCAATTTTTTTTGTAATCACATATAAGAAATAAATAATATGGTGATTCAGGGTATGGGCCATTATTTAGGAAATACAGCGAACTCTATTGGGTCACATGTGAAAAAATATTTTTACAAATAATAAACATAAAATTTGGTAAAATCCTAAGTATTAAACAATCATTTTGATCTCAAAAGAAATGCAATAATATCTTTATAATGAATTATATTTAATACTAAAATGATGCATAGTAAGGAGAGAGAGAGACACTAATAGTTCTATCGAGAAAACCTTTTATCTTATGAACATATTTAAGATTGAAAAAACTGTAAAAAAAACAGTTAAACCTCTTATGTAATGATCACTTAAGGGGATTGGATATATTTTAGACCATATTTTGTAAAAATTTTAATGGTAGAGGTCTGATTAACAGAAAGTTTTACTGAAACTAGGTCATTTAAGATTTTTAAAAAAATTTGTTTGTACATGGACAAAATTTGATTTTATTAATGGAAAATTAAATTATAATAATTAGACTTTATAAGATTTTTGTAATTAAAATATTTTCAAACATTATACATTCTCAATATTAAAAAAAATATGTATAAATTAATTTAAAAAAATATCACAAATGATATACTAAAGTAATATTCGACAAACTATTTGTTAATATTAAGTATGTTTGGTATCAACAACATATCGAATGCAATGGGAGGAAAAAAAACTTGATTATAAAATAATATATATAATATTGTATGTGCAAAGGCAATATAAATTGCTGAATTATGGTTGATTTGACAAAAGTTAAAAAATCTTTTCACATATTTGACAAAAGATAAGGATAGCGAATATAACAAGCATTTTTTTATATGAAAGTAGGAAAAATAATAAACGAAAATTATATAATATAAATGAACTAATAATAAACAGAAAAATATAAATCCTTATTCATCATTATTTACTGTAAAGAGAAAGCGCTCAAAGAACCATGAAAATGATTGTCATTGTCGCTAAGATGTGAAATCTTTTAAAATAATAATGGCAGGCAAAAAGATGGGGAGATTTAAGATTTAAATAATAAAAATATATATATTACAAAATAAATTCCTCTCTATAATAGAAGGGAGGCCATTTTTTGTTATCAAACCGATTTCTTATCAAAACAATCGATGTAGGGGTCTTTGTAAGCCTCACCGCTTTCCACTGGTTTGCATCCTTCTCCTTTTGCGATTAATGATCTGATGGTCCTAATCCTTTCGACAGTGGATGGATGGGAAAAATGCCAGGTCGAGTATAGTTTATCGTTAGTTGGGAAACTCAGATTTTCTTTATGGAGCTGTTGCAAACCCGTTATAAGTTCCTGACCTAAACCTTGAAGGGTAGCAAAGGCATCGGCGTCGTATTCGCATTTGCGGGAATAAACGTTTTCCAAAAATTCCATCACCTATTTTTTGCAAAAAAAATATGTAAATTTTAATCTGAGAATTATATTTATAATTAAGAAGCATTCTTTTTCAGAATCTATTCACAATAAAAAAAATTAACTGGAAAGAAAGTGCCAGGAATATTATTTATCAATACTGATATGGTATAAACTTAAATATTTTTTTTTCGGATAAAGTAATGAAATTTGCTTTTGAATAAGAGATTAATTATTTTTTGTTATTTCCTATAAAACGATGCTAAAATGTTGAATTTTTTTAAACCCTTGCACAATGCATCAAGTTATGAGGATTGTTTCTTTGAACCTACTATTCATACTTTCATCGCAATGCAGTGTTGTCAGACACGAAGATATAGAGAACAATTTAGTAGATAATTCTATCTTCCTGTGATTACAAACTTATTAGTAATGAAATTTCGTTGAAGAAAAAAGAGGCGATTCTTATTCTGTAATTAATAAGGAAGAGATTCAAGTGTGAACGCTTGATCATCTGGGCGAAAAAATATATCAAAATTTTTTTATCTTTATTTTTCGAAGATAATTTCTATTCTATCACATTATGCAAATCAAATGACTACTGATTTTATTATTCCAATGCTAAAATTTTTTTGGAATATCCCAGTCTTCCACAGGAGAAAATGCTCTAGTCGAATAGAAGATTTCTCCATTCCTATTATCAGAAAAACTCGGTCTAATAAAAAAATCAAAGAAACAAGGTAACTTTCGTTTTGATCTTCTATTGATGCCTTAAGCCATAGAATATTTGGCCTGGAAAACTTCTAAGAGATATTTCATAAATTTTAATTACGTTTCAATTCAAGTAATAATTTGTTTATCTTAAAGATTATCAGTCAAAAAAATCAAGTTTATAAAGTAATTGAAATAACATTAAATTTCTTTGATGATTTTATATATGTAATTATATTTAAAAAACCTGATATATTACATTGCTAATGGTAATAGGGTCATATGTTATAAAATGCTTGAAAAATTTATACAAGAAATAAGAGCCATCATTAATGAGCTAATTTGTTTTTAAATGCTAATTTTTGGTATTAAATTGTTTAAATAACATTTTTTATTGTTTCTAAAAATTCAAAATTAGGATTATTTAAATCAAACTTTCTAAAATTGGATTTTATTTTTATAATTAGTGGTTATAAATAAAAAAAATTCTGCCTTATTTAATATGGATCTAGGCCCCGATCTTCCCTCTTTGAATACGGCCGGTTCTTTCAAAATAGCCGAATCTTGACCAGCTCTTATATTTTTATTAACGCATTTATTTTTAAAAAAATGAATAATCCAATTTTTTTTAAACATATTTTTTTAAATATGTGAAATTCATAAATAAAATAGTTTCTAGATAAAAAAAATATTGAATATTGTTGATAAATTATATTTATATAAATTTCATTATATATTTATTAAATAAAATTTACATTATATATTAAAGAGTTAATAAATATTTTTTAACAAGACCCGGTACCGAACCAATTGACAATTAAGATCGGGTATTGGTAAAAGAGTTGTTAATAGTCATGATTCTTTATGATTCAATGTTGATAAATCATTTCTATGAATTATTAAAAAAATTTCGTGTTAAAAAAATTTAAATATTAATTTATAACTCTTGGAAAAATTAAAGCTATCGCTTTATTATAGATAATAGTGGTAAATGATTTTACTTAATTTATTTTAGGTGTAAAATATTACTTCGTTTATGATCAGTCATCATAAAAAGTGACTTATTTGGATTTTAATGAGAAAATTTAAGGAAAGATAGAGTAGTATACAAAAAGGGCACAACTAGAATTAAGATAGCGGATCATGAATGATAATAAATAAATACGAGCTGAATCTTCTTTACGTTTGATAAATCTTAAAGTTTACTAAAAATTATAATAAAAATACATTTGTTTATCTAATAATATTATTATTTTCATTCCAAAAATCATTTTTGACGTTATAAAATCAAATAATATTTAAATCAAAATCCCATCCAAATATATAATAAAAAAATTAATAAATAAGCAAAGGATAAATCTGGTATAATTAATCCAATGTATTAGAAATTATAAAATATCTTCTTTATTAACTTTAAATTACTATAAAAAAATTAAAGTTTCTTCAGCTAAAAGGCGATAAAATAACCAACTTATAATGGTTATATAATATGACATGACCAATATACATACAAGATATCAATATGATATACTGATGAGATCTAAATGGTTGGAGCCAGGTCTAAAGATAAAAATTGATATTACGTATGTATACTTATTTCCAAGGTAATGATAGATACTGCCAAGTCAACATAACAATATAAATACAAATGCTTTCCGAAAATGACGATTTTCACATATAAATTATAAATAAATTTGGCGGTGCCTATCCAAATGAAAAATAAACAAAATACCAATTTGATAAATTTCCCAATATATATCTATTTATTAACTTAGTAATAATTTAAAATTAATGAAATTCACTTAAATTTAATAAGAGATTTTATAACTCTAATAAGTTGGATTGCCAAAAAAATTAATAAATTATGAGATAAAGTTAAAACATAAATTAATGGAGTAAGTTTTAAAAAATTTAATAAATATGATTCTCTATTTAGAATATAATTTCTAAAAAAAATTTAAAAATCAGTTGATTTAATTCGGGATTTAAATCAAATTGATTTTTATTCCGTATCCGTTAATAATATAAATAAGAATAGTCGGATTAATATTTATTTAACCAAATTTTAGAATTTTCTATAGGGATCGCCAATATATGTTTAGTTTGGGTTTTTTTATGATCTTTAAATAAAATAAATAAGATGGGGATAAAATTAATAATATAAACATCTGGAAAGGATCCGCTTAAATGATCAGCAAATATCAGATGGGAGAAAAAAAGAAGTAAATTTCCATATAGTATATATATATATATTAAAATAAATAATAAATTTTATATACAATTTCATAAGGTTTAAGGAAGCAGTTGAGTATGAGCAGAAATCCTATCAGAATCGGTTTCTGATCATAAAACCCGAAGGCTTGGTACAATGTTTGGTTGTTGTTTAGATACGAAAAGACTAGGAATGAGAAGAAAAAGTTGGCCTTGTTTTTGTATAAAAAAATGAAATGATAAAACAATAACATAATTCATTATAAATTATGACGTTTCCCGTTTTTTATGTTATATTTATTTAACTTTGGGTAGCATAAATCTTATATTTTGCTAGAAAAGTACAGATATTTTTTAACGTATCGGATCGATTATTCATTTATTTAAATATATTGATTGATATTAGCAATTTTTTGAACCAATCTGACAAAATGGCGACTTATTTTAAAAAAAATCGCCTTTGATATTTATGTTATTATATAATATTCAGAGACCACGTGGAGGTCAAAATTTTAAGCCTGGCCCGGATTTGAAGAAATTTTCAAGCCAGACAGGGATCTTTAAAAATCATTTTATCAAGTCTGGAATTTTTTTTCGTTTTTTCCTACTGATTAATTGATATAATCTAATTTTCTAAATTGACCTCCCAGGTTTTGTAAAAAACAAGTCAATTTTTATAAGAATATTTTGATGTATCCCAATGACTTATAATAATATCTAGACTGACGATGCATTCATAATAATGTATTTGAAAGCGTCGTTGAATGCAAATCAGCTGGACCGCCATTTTGATAACCCATATAGTAATTATTCTCATAAAAAACTACTATTAAATTGATAACTTGCCTATTATCTCGATGATTAGGCAATTCTTTAATAAAGTTTGCATCAGACATAGGAATAAATTGGCCTCTCGTTAAAAATTTTGAATAATAATATGGGTAATCAAAAAGGCGCTCCCAGCTGTTTTTATTTGATGTACACTTTTAATGAATGTCAGTCTAGGTTAGAGACCTTCATCGCCGGGCTTGGGCCTAATTATAAATTTTCTAGCGGGCCTGGGCTGGGCTTGGGTTCGTTGGAAATTTTTGCAATAGGGCTTGGGCCTAAATTTTTAAATTCAAATTTAGCTTATTTAAAGGATATTTAATAGGACAAATATAACAAATCATTCTGATTTTATTAGTGTTATTTATCAAATTTCCTATACACCTTGGGAGAGTATATATTTTTTAAATCTGAAATTGGTATAATTTTACTTAACTTAACACCACGGCCTGGGCACGAAACAGCGAAAAAAGAAACAGCGAAAATCAAGGAATATTCCCAAAAATGTTCCCAACGATGGCCAACATTTTCGATATGACATATATTTTCCCAAGTTAGCGTCTGGATGAAGTGCATGTGCATGTTATTCCTACTTCGAGGATTATTAGAGCTACCATATTCTTTATAAATTTTTTTAGCTATATAATATTTTTAACTTCATCCTCATTATTGGATATGTCTTCATGGGAGGATGATACAATACTTCATAATGAGACGGATGCTGATGAGATTAATTTATATATGGATATTCAGCTAAATGAAGAGGATATCAACTATGATGACTGCATCCTAGATTGGTGGAAGAAGCATGAAAAAATCTTGCCAAAATTGGCAAGATTAGCCAAAAAAATCATGCAATTCCAGCATCTAATGTTTCCAGTGAACGGAATTTCAGTACTATTGGAAGGGTTATTGAAGAAAGAAGAACAAATTTAAATAACGAAATTGTAGATAATATATTATTTTTAAATGATAATTTGAAAATATAAATTAAAATTTTGTTTATATCATTTATTAATATTATATATATATATTATTACTAAATAAAATATTATATTTCTATTAGTATTACTTTAGCATAAGTTAAGTATACATAAAATAATTGTATGGGCTTGGGAAATTTTTTAAATATTATAGCGGGCTTGGGAATTTTTTTAAATATTAAAAACGGGCCGGCCCGGGCCTGGGTTTAAAAATTTTTTTTACGATGGGCCTGGGCCAGACTTGGTCCTAAAATCTAGGCCCATGAAGGTCTCTAGTCTAGGTATTATTATATGTCATTGATGAATCATAAATTTGTATTTTTAATATCATGAATGGATAAATAATATAAAGAGACCTGTAGGCTTGGTTTAATGCCAGGGTGGTGTATACGCTCAGGGCCATATATTTTAAGATAACCAAAAAATAATATTTTCTATAAACCCCACTCAGGCAAAAATTATAAAACCCAAACTAAGCCGAATATTTTAAACTCGGTTATTATAATATATAATAAAAATATACATTTAAAAATTGTATCATAGAATGATATATCACACTCATTCCCTTCTCATATTTCCTATTTCCATTTGAAAACTATTTATATTTCTCGTTAGAAAATACTTAATTCCTTCATAAAAGAAGTAAAATGTATTTTATAAATTATTCGCTAATTATTTATATAAATTCATTTATTATTTATCCATATTAAACAGTGATAACAATTTATCAAGGTGTACAATCTTAAAGGACAAATAATACTACTAATTGAAACTTAACTCATATTTATGATAGCTATAAATAACTTTGATTTGTTAATTATTTTCTTCCAGGGTCTATTTTTCCAAAATGTTATTTTAATCAAAAATCACAATTTGATCAAATATTTATTATTTTTATAAAAAATATGATTTTTGTTTAGAAATGTGATTTATTATGACTTTTATATCTGGAATATATGATCAAAAATATGGCAACTTTTATTTCTCAATTCTTGTATATATATAATATGTACTATTATATAATTATTCTATTTAACTGACCTTTTAATATTAAATATAAATACGTTATATTATTGTATGACAAATATGTTATTCTGAATATTATAACCTTATAAAATATAACAATCAACTCTGTCAATTACTTAGTAATTCGAAAAATGATTCTTTGCTGAACAATAATATCTATATATAATTGCACCAGGACATGAACTAATCTTTAAAATATTCATTATTTGTAACATACATTTATATGTAGAGATTTTTGCCAGAATTGCATTCTAGTATGCGGAGTTGTCAAAGGATAAAGATCAAAGGATCGACGATCCTGGATTTAATACAAATTTTGGCAATTTAGCCGGATTTATAAAAATTCATTTTTTACTTAAAAACTATATAAATAAAATATTATTTTTTAAAAAAAATTTATCTCCATAGGTGATAACTCCCCCCCCCCCCGGAAAACCCCCCCTTAAAAATTTAACATAAAAATATTATTTTTTTAATCAAATTTGACGCTTATAGATAACGCTTTTTGAAATTCTCTCATATAACATAGGATTTCTTCCACGAGATCTTCTTTAAATCGAAAATAGAAGAGTGGTGGCCATTATTAGGAATGCTTTATAATAATAATATATGGGGATTGGGTAACGTAAAGGGGGGGGGTAAAGGGTGAGATAAATATTATTTTTATTTTGAACAGCTATTAAGATGTTTTATCGTATTATTAATCATTAAGGTTTAATTATTCTTAATCAACAGAATAAAAATTGTTTATCAGTTAAAATAACGCTTTAATTCCAATTATATTCATAATTTGTATTAGAGGTAGGCGCAGGACCGTGAAATTACGCGTGACCCATTGTGTCACGGCGTGAGTGTGAATAAATTTTAAATTATTAGGCGTGACGTGCCATTTTTACCGGGCGTGAACAAAAATTTCCAGCGAATCACGGAAAATTTAATTTTTTAAATTGTTTTTTTTAAATATATTTTCTAATTTAATTTAGTTCCTTTTTTAAGAAAGAATAATTTTTGAAAACGAAAAATCTTCCTCATTTTATAAACAACATCCGGTATCATGCCGTTAGTTCTACTTTCGTTTTATGTTTAGGTGTTTTATCGCGAGACTTTTTGCTAAATTTTGCTTAAACTTTTTACAGAAAAGTCAGTTATATTTTATTTGTAGAGATCTTCGATCTGTAAATACAACAGAAAGTGAAACAAGCTAGGCCAAGAGTTAATAAATGTTGATGTTACATATGGACAAAAAAATATAAAAGATATACTTGTGAGTCGGAAAGCTCTCGTTATTATAGCTCCAAAAATCTAAGATAAAATTTATAAGCATGATCAATAATAATTACTTGTCAATAACCACTGATTTTTGGAAAGATGACTATAAAAATCGAAGTTTTTTAACCATTACTGGACATATTATCATTAAGGATTTTGAATTAAAAACATTTGTTTTGACCACAAGAGAAATGAAAACAAGCGTCAATATTAAAAGTGTAGTCAATTAAATTTTAGAGGAATACATAAAAGTAGAAAATTATTAAAATAAATGTGTGGTTGTGACTGATAAGGGAGCAAATCTTATAAGTGCACTCAAAGATGATGAAACGCTAGCATGTATATGCCATATACTACATAATATTATGCATTATATTTTCGACAATTGTTTAACTGAGATAGCCTTAAATATAAATAGGTGTACAAAAAATAGTACAATATTTCAAACTATCTACAGCTACTTAAAAAAGATGTAACAACGAGATGGAACTCTGTATATATCATGATACAGAGTTTCTTAATATCATATTCTGAAATACAGGTGTACTTGTTTAGCAAGCAAGAATTAAATAGATTAGCCACAATGATATCAACATCATACGCGAGTTAGATAAAATTTTATCAATATTTAAAGAATACTCTGATAATCTGAGTACAGATTCTCGTTCCACAATAAATGAAGCTTATCTATGGAAACAAAAATTAGTAAAATTTTGTTAACCTTCTTAACGTGATACAATACAAACCCTTAAAAAAACAGAACAAGATTTCTTTTAAAAGAAAGATTTATTATGCAGCCCCTACATAAGGTAGGCTTAATGCTAGATCCGAATTTCAAAACTCTTAAGTTTTTAATAGAAGAAGAAAAGGATGATATATATATAAAACATCCTTAAAAATGGTAAAGATATAAAATTAGATGATATAAATAAGTCAATGCCAACTATCATTTATAACTTTCCTAATTTATCCTAAGCTCATAAAAAACCGTATATTCTAAATGGTCAAGCCAATTATCATTTATAACTATCCTAATTCATTCTATATTCATAAAAGACCGTATATTTTAAATGAAAAATTTAGGGAATTTATAGATGATTCTGATG